CAGATAGAAAAAAATATATTTAGATAAGATAAAATTAGCCATAACGATGAGAGATTCTATAAATCGAGTTTTAGAGGAGTGGAAAAACCTAAATGATGACGAACGATCGTCTTTAATAGCATTTGGTATCACATTGTTATAGTTAATAAAGCTTTGCTGCTTTGGCTTTTAATTATTTTATAATTTTTTTATGTGAAGAGAGTGTGGGATTATTTTGCATGCCAATGTTGCTCAGTCCAGATTTTCTTTCTTGGAATTAGTGTAAAAGTCAGATACGTGTATACAACCTGCCAATTATCGTCATTAAATCGACGCAAATTTCAATCTGCGCACAAGAATAACAGTTACGAGATCACGAGATTTCTTGAAGCTTTTTTTTTTATACAGTATATATTTATTCAGCTTATTAGAATTTATTTAATTATTGCTACAAATTCTAAGTCAAATTAAATTTAATTCTAATATATCAAATGCATTATATCAAAATTCAAATTTTATTTATTTAATACACTGTCGTGGGCAAAATGGACAACCCACACACACCAAAGAAAAGCGTCACACAAGGTTTACTCAATGGGTTAGAGGCGGCACGGTCTAAGGCACAGGTTGCAACTAGGGTGATTTGGTAACTTAAAAGAACGTGATAGTTGATTAACACAAAAGGGCTTTTTATTTATTGTAAGGAAATTGCACTCTTATTTATAACAAATTTACAGGTCAAGAAAAGAACAAATTTGAAAGTTCTAATTAATTCTCTTCTTTTTTTTCATTATACCGCCATTGAACTTTAGCCATACAACCCTTTCTAGTCTAATTCCCTACTCCTTGCACACAGCCATTCTCATTGAAACGTTCGACGGAATGGAAAAAGAAGGCAAGTCAAATGAAGGCTTCTACGCCGTCATCGTTCTTTACCCGTGATTCCATTGATTTACTCATTGACTCATTCACGTTCCTTCGTTCATGGCCACACACTTTACCCGACAAGGTAATATTACCTTGACAGCTGTCATACTGAATCGGGTAAGTATCTTTTTTTTAATGAGATCGTTGATGGGGGCTTAGCTTATGCATTTTCACGAGATCTTGATTCAGGTTCTTAGAATTCTGGGGCATTGTGGTACGACGGTTCTTTTGCGTAACGTTCGTGTATCATTTCGCGTTACTTTTTCAAGGGCTTGAGGTCACGATTTTGCCCATGACAACACGTATAAAGGTGTTTTTTCTGTTATGTCCATTCCGAGTTTTTGGAAGCTTTTTTGCTTGTTCGAAATCTTCAATGTTATTTACTGTTTTTTGAATGGGTTTAAAGTTCGATTCAATACTTCGAAGCCATTTTTTTGTTTGGGAAGATTATTAGACTTTTCAAGACAATCAAACT